AAATATGGTTTTAAAGTGGGGGAAGGGAGCAGGAAGGAATATGAGCCGGGAGGAAAACTTTTACTCTGCTGGGTAAGATCATTATTTTTCCCCCCAGAATGCCCTATAACCTCTTATGTTTCTTACATTTCAACTTCAGGTTTTATTTCTCAGACATTTAAGATGCTTCCAGCTCTTTACCTGGCTAGGTGGAAGCCAAGATTTTATTTTTCTCTTGGGGGCTATTCTGCTAGGCTAGAAACATCAGAAGAAACCTTAACTTTAGGTTTTTATAGGACATCTTTCAAAGTATAATCAGGCTGTGTGGTTCACAATCCGGCTATTAGGTTAAGGGTCTGTGTTGCCAAGGGTATGTTCTTCTAAAAATATTGAGAATTAAAGAAACCTGACTGGACAGGGAGGGAAAATTCTACAAGTTGGTCCCTATATCCCGATCAGAAGATTCTTTTCCTTCTTTCCTGTTTCACCAAAAAGCACACTTGCCCATAATATTCACGTTCTCAAAACACATTTGTTACTCTCAGGGCTCCTGGGATCTATAACCCCAACTGTTGACTTTTGACGTCCCAATGTATTTTTTTTTTTTTTTTTTTACACACCTTTGCTTATATGTTAGGGTTTCTTTTCCCTCTGGGAGAGAGAGGAGCAGGTTGTAGAAATATTGGTGGAAAATTAGCCATAAATCACTTTACCTTCTCATGATGAAGAACAGAATAGTCAGAACCTTGAAATCTCTCTCCATAAAATACTTATCAACTACAAAGGGACAAATAATAACTTGACAGTGGAGAATCCTCACGGATACCACCTTAAGACACCAGTAAGACAGACGGACATCAGGTGCTTCCTGTCAGGGTACACAGAGAAGGACATCGCTTCTGTGGTACCCCTGCCAAAACAGGAAACAGGACCAACTCAAACCCACTCCATGATTTTCTACTACAAGTAGCCTGAGTTCTGCCATGGTCAATGACGTGAAAGACAAAAAGGTTGAAGAACTGTTTCCTATTTAACGTAAGGAGACATGAGAGCCAGGTGCATGGGTGGCTCAGTCAATTAAATGTCTGCCTTCAGCTCAGGTCATGATCCCAGAGTCCCAGGATCAAGTCCTACATCGGGCTCCCTGCTCATCAGGGAGTATGCTTCTCCCTTTGAGCCTCCCCCTGCCCGTGCTCTCTCTCTCTCTCTCTCTCAAATAAATAAAATTAAAAAAAAAAAAAAAGGAGACATAAGAACTAAGTACCATACATGCTTGTAGACTGGTTCTTGGACTAAAATAAATAGCTATCAAGGATGTTACTATAATAATTGGCAAAATTTGAATACGGACTGCAGATGAGTCAACGGTATCAACATTACATTTCTGATTTAGATCATCGCTGTGGTTACACAGGAAAATGCCCTTATTCTCTGGAAATTGTCACTATTTGGAGGTAAAGGAGCACAGTGTCTCCAGCTTATCCTTAAACGGTTCTGGGGGGGAAAAAAGTATAGATAGAGAGAGTGACTACCATAGCACGTGAAGCTAAATGTTAATAATTGATGAATGTAAGTCAAGCAAATACAAGAGCTCTTTGTACTAATCTTGCAACTTCCCTGAAAGTTTGAAATCAGATCTATCTACATCTATACATTGACAACTAGATAGATAAATAAAATAAACCACACAAATTCAAAATACATTCATCACCCAGGGCATCAACCTAGAATCCAGCCTATTCCTCGGGTGTTCTCAAGCAATCTGTACAGAACCAAGGCTAGGATACCCACGGTGACCAGGTCAGCAGGCTCACTAATTAGTCTGTCTACATTTCTACTAGCTTAAACTATGTTTCATTTGAATAAAACGTATCAGACTTCCTTAAACTTAGTACTGATGACTTACACGCTTAAACACTCAAAATACAAATTCCATACTTTTCCCCCCAGTGAGGCCCAAGGTTGTCAATCTTCTCACGCCCTAAAAAGTAAGCAAGGCTACTTGGTATAACCAAACGTAGAACTTCTGTGTACATAAACTTTCCCCATTATGCCCAGTTCCCTACTTTCCGAGAAAATCCAATTTACATCCCCAGGATGCCAGATACCAAAAATACCATGCTCTTGTTTTTGTCACATCAAATGAACCATTTTATTCTTTACCCTTCTTAAAATGAAATTCAATAAATCTTTGCTCGCTGTTGCCTTTTCTATCTCTTCCCCAGCACCTCCTTCTGTGATTAAGCTTTTCCATCCACTCTGGAATAATCCAGGGGTAATTATAACTTCTTACCTTCTTTAGCCCAACAGGAGCCAATTTATCACAAACTGTCATGAATTCCGAATCTAAATTACCAAGAGTCCAATTACCGATGGAGGCAAGGAATCTTCTTTTCAATTACAGTGATTGATTTCTTCCCAAACCCAGTAGCATTTCACTTTTTAATTATGTTCATTCTGATCAAATGTGAGAAAATTCTTCCTCATTTTATTTTCCTTCCAAAGAACATGTTACAACAAACATTAATCACGAAGTGATACAAGGCCAGACCTGCTAATGCCTTCAGCGGAAATGAACATCTAATCTATCAGTGGGTCTTGTCCATTTTGTGGGTCTTAGTGGTTCCTTCAGCTCGGAACTGGGGGAAAAGGAATAATTATTTGTTACATCACCTAGTTCACCAAAGGGCTTGTCAAACCTTCCAGCATCGGCTAAATGGTGATGAAGGCTCATTGGACCGATAAACACAGACCAGTGGGGAATGAAGACTTGCGGACAGAACACGATTTGTTTCTTGTACAAAGAACAGAACCACCGTGTTGGGAGACCAAGTAGCGTGTGGAGGTAAACATAAGGAATATGGGGGCACCTGGGTGGCTCAATGGGTTAAGCCACTGCCTTTGGCTCAGGTCATGATCTCAGGGTCCTGGGATCAAGTCCCACATCGGGCTCTCTGCTTGGCGGAGAGACTGCTTCCCTCTCTCTCTGCCTGCCTCTCTGCCTACTTGTGATCTCTGTCAAATAAATAAATAAAATCTTAAAAAAAAAAAAAAGGAAGGAATATGGAAACAATTTTGTTTTTTTCTCACTCAAGCAGCATTAGAATGACTATGTACTGGGAACAATTTTGAAGGAGAAAAATAAAACCTCAAATTCAGTTTGCGGGGGGTTGGCGGGGGAGTAGAATTTGGGAGTATCTGGAGGAACGTGAGGCCGTTGTGCCTTACAGACTCCCCGAGGCCTGAAAGACACTGATTTTGTCTGCTCTGCTTATCTTCAAGGGAAGGCTGGCTGGTTCTGGCTCTCGCAGCCTGCTGACCCGGGAGCCTGTACCCTTATCTTCCCTCACACTCCTCTCCCTGTGGTCAGCAGACTGGCACCAGTTCATTCACCTGAGACACACAAAGGCCAAGGTTTTCACTTGACAAGCATCTTCCAGCAATCTGTGTCCCCACAGTGACTCCCCTTTGTACTTGTATGGACGCCATCCTCTGACCATTTTCACAGATTTATAACGATGAGTCAGGGAGCTCTCCAAGACTTTAAATATCCCTGTTCAACCACGGAGTCCTAGTTGACCATTGTAGCGGAAAGTGAAATTGTATCATACACTAAGGTTTTAAAAATTAAAAAAAAAAAAAAAATCCATATCTGTTAAGATTGTGTGTCTGCCTCTATTCCAGGTTAAGTTCGTGAAACTCAGGAAGACCAATACGACCTGCGTTAAGACTCCTCATTCCTCGAACAGACAACTATTGAGTACCCCTGAAGGGCTTAGGATGCTGGATGCCAGAAGTGGAGAAACAAGGCTCCTTCCGTGATGCTCTAAGGGGAGGGGCAGAGAAGCAGACACCTTGGTAGGGGATGCAGGCCTGTGAGGGGCGAAAGGGTCACCCCGTAAGAACACCATTCCAGGGGCACCTGGGTGGCTCAGTAGGTTAAAGCCTCTGCCTTCGGCTCGGGTCATGATCTCAGGGTCCTGGGATCGAGCCCCGCATCAGGCTGTCTGCTCAGCAGGGAGCCTGCTTCCTCCTCTCTCTGCCTGCTTCTCCCCCTACTTGTGATCTCTGTCATATAAATAAGATCTTAAAAAAAAAAAAAAAAAAAAGAACACCGTTCTGGTGGAGGCGGGAACTCCAGGCCCACTAGCTGTGCAAGGGAGGGGGTCTGGGGGAGACCAGGCTGCAGAAATAATCTGCCAAGGGCCAACATCAGAGCAGACCCTGGAGACGGAAATGGAAGTAAGTGGAAGTTTGAGACTTGGGGTCGGTACGAAGCACAGGGGCTTGCAACCACCAGGAAAGGATGAGAAAAGTGAGGTTGACTCTGAGCACTATTTCATGTAAACACTGAGGAGGATTCCATGGACCGGCTGGCTTTGCTATATAAACATTTATTGTAGTTATTATTCATATCCTGCCTTGACTCCTTGTTTGAAGCTCTTAAACATCTCTGGGACAAGTGGGGGAGTTACTTCCATTCTTCTTTTTACAGATGAGAATGAAGACAAGGGAAGTGTAGCACTGACCAGGGGAATACAAATAACCCAATTAATTGATGCTGAGCTAGAATAAGAGATCAGCACAGTCCTTGTTACATAATCCAACAAAATAGAGAGATAGCTCAGAAGTGTCCTATGGGCATGTTTCTGGTCTATGTGGGACAGAGTTCATAGACCTTTATACCATGAGCTGTGCTGGAAGGTGGTTTCTTGATAATGTCCATTCCAAGAGCCAATGGAAAGCCACCATGGTATACCGAGTCATTAAAAAAAAAAATGGATGCACAGGACTCAAGACTTACACCTTTGGTGGAACTAAATTATCCTTATCAGATGCTACTTTCAGACTCAAGTTTTTCCATCACAAAGTTTTTAACAGAATAATCTGTTTAAAAGCAGGTAAAGTGGGGTGCCTGGCTAGCTCAATCAGTAGAGCACATGATTCTTGATCTCTCCAGGTTGTAAGTTCAAGCCCCACACTGGGTGTAGAAGTTTCTTAACATACACACATACATTAATAAATAGCAGGTAAAGAAATTTATTGTCAAACGTTTAGATGTTTTAGGACTTTCATGTCCTCCACACAGTCAAGAGAAAATACTGACAATGGACAAACAGGGAAAAAACTCTTCAGCAAAGATTCTCCAGAACTCACAGCATCACTGGTCAAACACTATAAAAAGCCGTCAAGTGAACCAACGAGAAGGGAGCTTAACAGAGAATTTTAATTTAACAGCCTAACCGAAAAATAAAGAACATAGCAACCAACCAACCTTCTCTTCTATCCACTAAAAGGAACATAAAAGGAAATCAGAGAACTTCTAAATCCTGTGAAGCAGGTTTTTTGGAGAGGGAAGAGGGAGGGAAGGGACACACCGTTGCAAGCATTAACCTGTAATACGTGAGGTTAAGGATTCTAACAAATTCTCTTAAGTCTCTACATGCATCCCCAAGAACCGTATTATTAGAAACAGACTGCATAGAGATATAAACTATTTGGTATTAAAAACAGACTTTGCTATGTGAACATATAGTATGTCACTTTTATCTCTTTAATGAGAGTAACAGGATAAAGAAAGATACCCCAGCTTGCCCTTGAGCCTGGAACCCCTAAACATCACCACACAGGCAGTGTGGACCTGAATTACCAGGTGCAGAACCCAGGAGACTCCACCATGTCATTTTGTAAAGGATCAAGATTCAGCACCTGTTGAATCCCGGTCCCCACCCAGCCTCCGTGCCATGTCTGTGTCTCCAGAAATCAGTAACTTCAATTTGCACAATTAAGTCCACAGGCAGGTTTGAATACTGAGATCTAGCTAGAAAAAGTAGCAGCAAAGACAAAGTTAGTCGGAATTCACTAGAAAAGCTAAAGGGAGATTTTTCTTTTTAAAAATGCTTCCAGTTCACATCAGAATTAAGGTGGGGGCCGTTAAGACCCACCAGCTTTGCAGAGCTGTGGATGTTTTGCTGTCGTTCTTTAAAAAAAAAAACTGAGATCTGTAATAAGCACGTTCACTCGAGAAAAATACCGTGTTTGCTAGGTTTCTATCCTCATTCCCAAGTTACTTTAGATTTTATACACTGTTCAAGGGCAGAGTATATATTGGTCAAGATGGGTTCATAGCTGATGCATCTCCAGAAAGTTCTTCATGAAGGCCGCCAGCTTTTGAACATCCTCAATCGTGACAGCATTATACAGAGAGGCCCGGATGCCTCCCACAGACCTAGAGCGACCAAAGATGCAGCCAGTGAGAACAAAAGCATCTAATTGAGCATCGAGACAATGGTCTTTCCAGTCATCCACTCCTGAGAGAGACACAGCACCTGAGGCCATCATGTCCAACCTGTCACCTGAAAGCCCCCAGGTGGCCACCAGTTTCAAACGTTCTCATCACAAGAAAATTCTCCCTAATGTAGTGACAGACCATCACGCCCACACGTAACCTGGATTAACTCAGTCAGGTATCTGATGGGCCTGCCTGGGAGGAAGGCGGGAGCAGGCAACCACTGGGGGCCGGTGTCTCGCCTCCCCTGTGGTAAGGACACACACTTTTCGTACAGCATGCAGGATTAACTATTTGATGTTCAGCCAGAGCAACAGTGATCTGTTCTCTCCAGTCAAAGGATGGAAGCCTCAGGGCCGTAAAAGCCATTTCAGATTTGTCAAAGGGAATTATGACAAAAGCCTGCACAGGTGGCCCCACCACACACTCAGCCAGGGAATCATGCTAAGGGTTCCACAGGCAAAGGAGAAGGGCGCCTGTCTGGCTCAGCTGGTAGAGCATGTGACTCCTGGTCTCGGGGTTGTAAGTTCAAGCCCCATGTTGGGTGTGAAGATCACTTAAAAATAAAATCCAAGGGGCACCTGGGTGGCTCCATTGTTAGAGAATCCAGCTCTTGATTTCAGCTCAAGTTATGATCTCAGGGTCATGAGATCAAGCCCCATGTTGGGCTCTGTGCTCGGCATGGAGCCGGCTTAAGAGTCTCTCTCTCCCTCTCCTTCTTCCCTTACCCCCATTCTCACTCACGTATTCTCTCTCTCAAATAAATAAATAATAAGATCTTTAAAAAAAAGGATTATCCTGTGACAACTGGTCTTTCCAACAGTTACAACAGCTGCTACTCCAAGCTGGGAGACTCCTAGATGGATAGATAGGTTTTGTTCTACATTTGAAAAACTATGGAGCACCTGGGTGGCTCAGTCACTTAAGCATCCAACCCCTGATTCCTGCTCAGATCATGATCTCAGGGTCAGAGATCGAGCCCCACCTCAGGCTCCGTGCTGGGAGTGGAGCCTGCTTAAGATTCTCTCTCTCTTCCTCCCTCCACCCACCCCCACTCCCACTTATGTGGGTGCTCTATCTCTCAAAAAAAAAAAAAAAAGGGAAAAAAAACCACTAAACCAATTCTCTGGTGAGTTTTTGGATTGATGTGTACTCACCTATGTCCTTTCAAGGAGATCATATTGAGTTCAAGAGCTTTATCGAGAAATCTTTTTTCTAAAGCATCGTCTCCTTTGGCATTGCCAATGCGGAATGGAATATTCATCTTGCTTCTATACTTGGACTCCACTGGACATCTGAAAAACATGATTGTTCCAGCTACTTTTCTGAAATGTGCAACAGCCACTAACAAATCAACAGAAACACTGCTTTAAACATTTTGTCAATACAAACAGCTTAAAAAAAAAAATCTGCCCCAGGACATTGATAATTTTTAAGGAGACCTCTCTTGCATATGGAACGGTGAGTTAGCATTCTCTCGTATGACTTGTACTTAATTTCCATGAGCCTCAGTTCCCTCACCTGAATAATGGAAATAATACCTTCATTTCAGACCAGCTGTGAGAGCTCAGAGGCATAACGTATAGGAAGCTTTCAATACATAGCAACCACACAGCGATGTGAGTGACCCTCTCTACAAGACTAGAGAAAAAAATACATATACATGCTGGCCCTAACAGTGGCTGAGGGACTCAGCCATTAACAGCTTTCAAAGCCCTTGTCACACTGCACTGCCCCAAGCTGTGTGACCCTGAGCAACTTACTAAACCTCTCTGTTGTGTCTCACTTTCCTCAAGAATACTGGGAAGATTAATGGAACCTACCTACTAAGGTTGATGTAAGGTTTAAGTGAGCCAGTATTTATAGGGGGAGTTTGTGGCTTCTAAGTGGCCACAAATTCACTATTCACTACAGCCCTCCAGGCAAGAAGTGGGGTCTAGTTCTTCACACCTTTTTTTTTTTTTTTAAGATTGATTGATTGGTTGGTTGATTAGAAAGAGTGAGCATGAGCAGGGAGAGGGGCAAAGGGAGAAAGAGAAGCAGACTCCCTGCTGATCCCAGGACCCTGATATCATGACCTGAGCCAAAGGCAGCCGCTTAACTGACTAAGAAACCCAGGCACTCCTCTCCACACCTTTTGAATCCAGCTGGCCTTGTGACTTGCTTTAACCAAGAAACTGCACCATCAGGGTTGCTATGCAACCTCCAAGCCCAAGCCTCAAGGGGAATACAGCCTCTGTATCTGCCCTCTTAAAACATGGCTGCCATGTGGGCAAGTCTGAGCTAGCCTGCTGGAAACAGGAGACCAGCAACAGCCAGCACCAACTCCCAGACATGTGAGTGAGGTCACTGTAGACTGCTGGCTACAGGTGAATTACCGTGGACTCTGAATACATATTCCAGGTGAGAATGGCCAAAGAACCACCCAGCGAAGCCCAGCCCAGCCTGGTGACCCAAAGTCAAGAGCAAAAAAATTATTACTAAGTTGTTGCTTTAACAACAACTGGCCTGTGTGTTCTGTGATGCAAAACCAGATAACTGATACAGTTTAAAACAGTGTCTGAGGGGGTGCCTGGGTGGCTAAGTGAGTTAAGCGTCTGCTTTCAGTTCAGGTCATGATCTTGGGGTCCTTGGATCGAGCCCCGCTTCGGGCTCCCTGCCCAGTGGGGGAGTCTGCTTCTTCCTCTCCCTCTGCTGCTCCCCCTGCTTGTGCTCTCTCTGTCAAATGAATAATTAAAATGTTTAAAAAAATTTTTTTAAATAAAAATAAAAATAAAACAGTGTCTAGAACATAGTAAAACAAGCTAAGTATCAGTTAAATTCAACAAATTCATCTTTTTGGTCCCAGCATTTTGCAGAAGGCTTCTCCAAACTCTCAAAAATGAAAGATGTGTGAGTTTTTATCTAGGAGAGGTTAGTATTTTGACTTCAGTTTCCGATTTGAAAAATTGGCAGCCAAAATTATGGTCCATTGACAATCAAAGGAGACGAAGGGAGGAGCAGGCATCCACTCCAGAATAAAAGTAGGAGGAGAACATGTAATCACCCCTTCTCCATTTTTAAGCTCACCCTGTTTTATTTTTACACTTGTACAGGATGTGATTCATTAAAATTAAACAGCAAATAAAAGCAGTGTGAGGAAGTCCCCCGTGAAAAGTCACGCTCTCCCCTAAGGGCACATACATAATTCCTGCTAAAGTTAATAGGAGTCAAGTGCGCACCTACAGGCAAAAGAGACACCAAGCAGGGAAACCAAATATCTGGAATGGGTTTTGAGCCTGAATTCTGCGCACCCCCCCTTCCGTGAGGTGGTAGGTTTCGTGGCTGACATTTAAATTAAAAATTCACTGGCTACCCTCCTGATACCCTGCTGCCTCCGGCTCCGCGAAGGAAGGTCTAATTATAGAGGTACTAGGCAAAGAGCACATCTAATTTAAGGGGAAAAAAATTAAAAGGAGGAAGACTTATTTACAGTTCAGCCCCCCAAATGGACCCATCCTATCATGAAAGTGGATGGTATCACGGGAGCCATGAGTCGGCACACAACAAATTATTTACATGGCACCCAAGACGGTCTCTGGGAGAAGGATCAGGGAGGGAAACAAAGATTCTAAGGGATTTACTGCTCCCGATCTAGTGAGATGGCTGTGTGGGGAATTAACATGCCACGTGAGAGGTCAAGAAGCACACAGCCAAGCAAGGAATTCTGCCCAAGAGAAAGCTGAAATGTTTCAGAGTGACATGGCAAGGTTAGGAAGGGTGAGCCAGAAGGAAGGCCATTCTGGCAAAACTGCATCTACAAAGCCCTGGGGACCCCCAGCAAGAACTCCGGGAACTGCAGTGTTGGGCTTCCTGGCCAGGGGCTGGGCCCAGACGGTGGGGGGTCCTGCAGATACACCGACGGGAACAAGACTGGGTCCTTGAGCCATGAGGAGCCATCAGGTTGCCACAACATGAAATGTGAATTTTAGAAAAGGAACACTAGCACACAGAGGAGAGAATGGAGTGTGGGAACACCAAAAGGTGGAGAGACCTGCTAGAAAGCTCTTATAAAGAAGTGTCCTGGTCAGGGAGCACCTGGGTGGCTCAGTGGGTTAAGCCTCTGCCTTCGGCTTAGGCCATGATCTCAGGGTCCTGGGATCGAGTCCCACATCCGGCTCCTTGTTCAGCGAGGAGCCTGCTTACTTCTCCCTCTGCCTGTCGCTCCCCCTGCTTGTACTGTGTCTCTGTCCCCGGCAAATAAAGAAATAAAATCTTAAAAAAAAAGGACCCTGGGACCAGCCCCCATGACACCCCTCATGTGCATATCCTGGCTTGCCTTTAGTGTCTGCTTCACAGGGCTGTGGTGACAAAGGGTATCTGTCAAGCACTAGGGCTCTGCCTGCTTCCCTTTATGTTAGGGTTATTGCTAGACCTGTCACACACTCTTCTCTTTCCCAGGGTCTGGTCCCCACATGAAGGTAGCGAGAAAGGTGATCTCGGGTCTGGATATGGACACTATCACTTGGACATCTTTTGAATATCAAAAGTCAGCATTCTGAGTGCTTTCCATTGTAATATTAGGAACTAACTCTTAAGGAATGTTCCTTAGATGCCAAGTACTGCTTCTAGTGCTTTATGCAAATTAACCCACACGGGAGCCGATGTTCTTAAGCCCTGTTATATCTTCTTTATTCACATGGATTTTCACTTAAGTCCTCAAGGCGGTCATAAGAAGTATGTACCATCATTTTGCCCATTGTACAGATAAGGAATCCAAGTCTGGAGCAGTTAGGTCGTTGGCTCAAGGTCACATGCTGATAAATGGCAAAGAGGGGGTTCTCTACCCAGAATGCTACACTGTCCACGTGGGCTCAAGTCAGGGTCGACCGGAACCACGCGGGTGGTTAGGCCGTATGATGAAGAGAGGGACTTCGACAGCTGTTTCGTCAAGTCTCGGCATCCCTACCTGGTTCACAGCCCCCAGGAAACTGCCCAGAACTGGGTTCAGTCTCGTATTTCTAGGTTATTTGGTATTCCTCTTCAAAACTGTTCACCTCCAGAGTGCCTGGGTGGCTTAGTCGTTAAGGTCTGCCTTCGGCTCAGGTCATGACCCCAGGGTCCTGGGATCCAGGCGGACATCGGTCTCCTTGCTCATCGGGGAGCCTGCTTCTCCCTCTCCCTCTGCCTGCTGCTCCCCCTGCTTGTGCTCTCCCTCTCTCTCTCAAATAAATAAAATCTTAAAAAAAAAACTGTTCACCTCCCTTTTGGCGCCGTATTTCTATAGTTTAAAAGAAAAGTGGAGCATTTCCTGAAAATCCAAGTGATCCCAGAAACAGCTATCAAGCACTCCACGGGGAACATGGAGGAGGGAGCAAGCGAAGGCCTGCGGACTCCAGTAACAGCATCCCACGTGAACTCAGGCACCAGGCTGACATTTTCTGGGCGGGCAGCCCAGGGCGGATGGAAGTTCCCAGAAAGAGGTTTACTCTGAAGAAGATAAAAATTCTAGGTCAAGGCTGTACATAAGTAAATGAGAAATTTGGGGGGGTGGGAGGGAAGGTGACCTGATTGCCCAGGAGACAACCCACCCACCGTGCTGGCTACAGCAGGCTACCTTCCGAGAAATGCCGGATTGGCATTTAAGTTTAAGAAGCTTGGGGGAAAAGGAATTCCAGGGATTCCCGGGCTTCGTCCTACGTTCTGTTTTGTTTCTAATTCCTGGATTTTTCCAGAGGCATCATTATTCTTTCTGTCTCCCCATTTTGTTCCTACACATCTCCTGAGAAATAAATGGAATCAAAAGCTACTAGAAAATTTGGCCTCCACAATAACCAAGCGCTTTTACTCACATTCAGGTTCTGAGTACTTTTGGGGAGTCAGGAGAGATGCCTGTTCTTCTGGGCATCCCAGGGTCTAGAAGAGTTAGCCCAGAGTAGGTGCTCAGGAACATGGGCTGGATGGTCGGACGGTGGATGGATGAACAGACGGATGGGTGTGTGAGTGGATGACGGATGGGTGGGTAAGCGCGTGGGTAGATGGGTGGGTGGATGGATGAATGAACAGGGGTGTGGGTTGTTGCCGGAGAGGTGGGTGATATCATTGGTGGCTGGATAGATCACAGATAGAAATGTGGATGGTGGGTAGACAGGTAGAAAGGTGAACAGAGGACTGAACAGGTGGACGAAACACGCCTTCAGACCTTTCCCCACCTTCCTTCTAAGTCAGCATAATCATCACCTCCAGAAAACCCACTCTTTGCTCCCCAAGCACAATATCCTTTCTTCCCTCAGTACCTTTGCAGGGATCATTCCCTGCCTTCCAAAAAATCCCTAGCCGTAGTTTTGCCCTCCTCTAACTCTACTAAAACTCATTAAAAAAAAACAAACAAACCAAAAACCAAAAAACCAACCACAAGCCTACACCACATACAGGCAAAGTCGTCGTATCCTCTTACTGCTCCAAGCTTCTAACTACTATTTAGCCCTTGGCTGGGAACTTCTTGGACCATCTGCCAAGCCCTCAGTCTGCACTTGGCTCTGTGGCACAGACCCGAAGCGGGCAGAAAGCACAGTGTGCACCCCTTCCCCCAGCCGGGAGAGGAGCCTAAAGGCTAAGGCATCCAGCCAAACTCAACTCCCCCAGGGCCTATGGCTGGAGGGTCACTGCACACCAAGAACACAGGGGAACAGGCAACAAGTATTTTAAGGGCAGAGGTAGCAGAAACATGCTGCTTTATCCTATCTGCTCCGAAAATAACCCCCCCAGCCCCCACCCTTGGGTGGTCACGGGGACATATCAGAAGTCAGGGTTAAAGCACCATTTTATCCATCCCGTGTGGCACATGAATTCTCAAAGAAGAGTGTACACTCTCCTGTTACTATTGGTCAGTTACTATCATTGAACCCAAGAGTAGTGGTCCCTGAGGAGGAGGTCCCAGACTTGGAAAATGAGTATGTGTTTATGTGTATGCGTGCAAATGTGTACATTGTGCGTGCGCGCGCACACACACACACACACACACACACAGCATAAAGCCTCATACATCTGACACTTTGAAGGCAGGGAAACGCTAATGAAAGGAGCCATCTATCAAGCTCCCCGTGTGCCGGGCACTGTACTGGGTGCGTCACACCCAGCATTTTGGTGAGAGGTCTCTGTTAGGGGACTGGACAACCCCCAGAACTTGTGGATGTGACCTATTTGGAAAAAGGGTCTTTGCAGATGTCATTAAGTTACAGGCCTCTAGTTGTGATTAATCATCCTGGATTATCTGGGGAGGCCCTAAATCCAACAACCAGAAGTGAAGACACCCAACAAAGGCGAAGCCAGAGACCAGGCTGACAACACCCACAAGCCAAGAGCTACCTGGAGCCACCGGAAGCTGGAAGAGACCAAGAACGGATTCCTCCCTAGAGCCTCTGGAGGGAGCAGGGCCTTGCCGACGTCCTGTCCTTCAGGCCTCCAGAGGAGTGCAAACAGATTTCTGTTGTTTTAAGCCACCAAGTTCCTGCATCTTTGTTCCAGCAGTCCTGGGAGGCTAATGCAAGACCCATACACTCTCGTCCAGCGGCCAACACATATTCATGAATTATCTGGTCACAAAAATGTTTAACTAGAGTCTCCTCATACCATAGCCAGTTCCATTCACAGATGGCAGACCTGGGATGGTAACATCCATCCTAGAAGGGAAGCAGTGGACTTTCCTAAAAAAGGTAAGTGACCTAGGGGCGCCTAGGCGGCTCAGCTGCTTGAGTGTCCAACTCTTGATTTCAGCTCGGGTCGTGATCTTAGGGTTGTGGGATCGAGCCCCGGGTAGGGCTCTGAGCTCAAAGTGGAGTCTGCTTTAGAGTCTCTCTCTCTCTCAAACAAATAAAACTTTAAAAAAAAGGGAAGTGACCCAGCTGAGGGGCCCAGGAATGGGTATTTATACAAGGTTCTCCAGTGGAGTCCCTAAGTAACGCTGAGAGCTTTTAGCAAGTACACGTGTTTTTTCCCAGGAGCCCTACAGAGGAAGCAGACAGTGGGAGAAGGGGTCTGTCTGCGCTGGGACGAAGGTGAGATCTTTGGTGTGAGAAACATCACCACCCCTGGAGTTCCCCAGGTGGGGATGCACAAGGTAAGAGCTCACCTGCCACGTAATCCTGGGGCCCCGGACTTCCCAGATCACCACACTTCTAAGAGCTCAAGAAAGGGGACGATGTCCACTCCTCAAAGGCACACGACATACACACATTTTAAAATGCACAAGAGGCAAACTGTGAGATGAAAGCGCATCAACTTACACATAGAATCCTTGAGAATTATCAATAATATCATAAATCATCTGCGATTTGATGGCACTGAGCTTCTCCATGGCTGCTGCACCGCCATTATTCTTAATCCACTCCAGGACCAAGCCCATGACGTAGATGCTGAAATAAAGATTAAAAATCCATCTAGTTCTGTTTTGCAAAAGGGCAAAGACATTCAGAAAAAAGGTTTAATTATAGACTCCTCTCGAGCTCACACCAATCCCTACCTGTCCAGCCCCAGCCCTAATGCAAACTCTCCTCTCTCATTGCACCAGGCGTCCTCAGGACCCTGGCTCCCCACCCCCACCCAGTTAACCCCTTCACTTCCTACCCTCACAGAGCCCTCTGCCCGTCTATCCCATAGTTTGTACTATTCACTCCCTTACTTTCTATTTCTCTGTGTCTGTGACTTAGACTCCATGACTGTGGAAGACCTGAAGCAGCGTTCACCTTTTCTACCCCCGAGCCCTCCCATGCGGCCCTCTACTTGGCGGGAGGCAGTGTGGCAAGATGCTAGGAGCCCAGGCTCAGAGTCAGTCCTGACTTTAGTCCCACGGCTGCTGCCACTAACTAAGAAGACCACTCAGGATTATTCACCTTGGGAATCCAAACCTTGGCTTTCCCACCTGGAAAGAGGGAGGCCTACCACCCTATGGGGGACACCTGGCATTTTAGCTGCCCTGATCCTCCTAACCCCACCCCCACCCAACAGGCAGAGCCAGCTGGGTCCCTTGTCCCCTGGTCTCACAGCAGGGCTGGGGACCTAATTGGGACAATCAGAGCCCTCACTGGGACTCTCTGACTTGGAAGTGAGGACAGAGAGGCAGACCTGTGTGTTGGTGACAGTGTGAGTCTCTGAAGAAGACTCATCTGAGAAAATGAAGTCAATATTCCAGCAGAAAGAAGCAATGATCAGAAACAGAGAGCAGATGGGGCGGGGTGGGGGGGGGGGGGAAATCTGGGTCCCTGGTTCCAGGAGCCACGGCCCCTCGGCTGCTCATGGAACTTGGGAAGGTTCCTTTCTGAGCCAGAATGTCAACTCTGCCAGCTGTAAGACCTCGGGTCCCGAGAGGACTAGGGAAGAGAGACTAGGAGATGGGTTGGGGAAAGTGCTTAGTGCAGGGTCCAGCACCTGGTAGCTAGGTCACACAAGTGTAGACAGTGGCATCTTCATTACGAAACCCCCAAAACTAAACCAAACACACACAGTGTTGAAGTGCGGTGGGTGGTTTCCCAGCAGTCTTCTGAAAGCTCGTCTCTTAAAAAGGTACCAAGGGCTCCGTGTGCACCTCCCTGAAAGTCTGTAGGGGCAGGAACACAGGTGTCCAAGGGAAGAGACTCCATCCTCTTGAGCTGGGAATATGAAGACCAGCTCTCAGCTAGGCACTCTCAGGGGTGGGACAAAGCCAGTCCCCCCCGCATGGGAATCTGTGCAAACTGAGTTGCCAGGAGTCAATGCCCAGTGACGATCCAGGATGCTAACCCCTGGACAAGAGCTACCTTGTTTATTAACACCACGGGTCTCTTTCCACCATGACAGGTTGAAGCAGGAGATCACCGGATCTGGAAAACACTCGAACAGCCAGAAGCTGGTGCCAGGGGAAGCCCGAGGCTCTGGCCAGTTCATTCACTGTCTCAACCTGGTAGGTAGATGATCCAGGTGTTTCCACACCCAGAAGTTAGCAGAAGTCAATGCCAGGCTGCTCGGTAGGCAATGGGCATCCAAAACCATGTAAAAGGCTTTCCGGAGGGCACCTGGGTGGCTCAGTGGGTTAAGCCGCTGCCTTCGGCTCAGGTCATGATCTCAGGGTCCTGGGATCAAGTCCCGCATCGGGCTCTCTGCTCTGCAGGGAGCCTGCTTCCTCCTCTCCCTCTCTGCCTGCCTCTCTGCCTACTTGTGATCTCTGAAAAAGAAATAAATAAAATCTTAAAAAAAAAAAAGGCTTTCCGGAGGCTTCCGTGCTTGAGGAATGAGAAACAGTAGCTAGTGGCAGAAAAGGAAGGAAGGAAGCAGAGAACAGTCCCTGAGTAATTTAGGGCCACAGCTGTAGCTCTCTGGATCGAGACTGAGAATCAGAGAGACAAAGAGAAAGAAGAAAGAGGCCAGAGTATTTCCTAACATCTGTTATGGGGCCAGACGCCCTGCTAGCTGTTCTCCCTTTTACTCATCACAATAATCCTGAGGTCAGAGCTACCATCAGCCCATTTTACAGATGAGGAAACTGAGCTTTGGGGATCTTAATTTGGCCAAGATCACCCATGAAGTGGCCGATAAAAGCCAAGATTACAACCGGGTTGCTCTGACTCCAAAGCCCAAGCTCCTTCCACAGTAACCAAGGCATCTGGTTCAGGAGGGGCTCCGGGACCCCCCACCACTACCTCCCCTACTCGTGGGGCAGCCCGGCTGGCACCAAACCTCCCAGACACAAGTGCCAAGTGTAGGGGCTACAATAGCTTCACGGCACACGCGTGTGCATGTGTGTTCCAGACAGGATGCTGCCCGCCCACCCCTCTGTTCAGGAAGATGCTCTGGAATTCCCATCTAACCCCAAACTGCTCACTCCCCCACAAACCCTGCCCCGTGATCCAAGCAGAGCCACGGGTGCCCGTTCACTACTCTTCAGAGGCCACATTTTGCTTCTACCCATAGCCCTGTGACCCTGGAGTTCCCTTACTGCTTTCTCGCTATTCAAGTCCAAGGCTGCAGCAAGGCCCAGGGCAGGCCCCCAAACCCAGCCAGTCCTCAGCCCCAACACACCTCCCTCTCTGTGGCGGTTGGGCTCAGACTCACGCCCACGCGCTCTGCTGATCTTAATGAGATCTGAGCAGCCGATGAGCAGAAATCACCCCCCACCCCCACCCCCGCCCCCGCCCCGCTTCATTCACACGCTGGCTGCCTGGAGCCGGTGCCCCAAGCCTCCTGTGAGGCCTCAGCCTGAGGCAGACCCCTCAGAAGGAAGCAGGTTCTCCCTGAGGCTTCTCATTCATGATTAACTCAGATTGCTACCCCCACACAATCCAAACTCTTCAAAACACAGGGGACCTCGATGCTTATGCAGTTCTGCAACTTCATCTCCGTTCTCCCCACACATCGGTGGGACGTGCCTGATTTCTGCCTTTACTTCTAAAACGCCACCGGCTTCACACAGCAGCTAGTTCACCATCTAAAGCCGCCTAGTGATAAGTAACTCAATAAATCACAGGAGATCCACAGAATACCATACAGCACCTCAAAGGGGAAGAAAGAAAAAAGGCAGACATTTAAGCCGTATGAGTGTAAGAGTATACTGCATGTGGCATATTGCTGGGGAGAAAAAAAGAAATCCACAGAACAGCCCATATGGTAAATTTCCACTCGCAGAATATATGGCTCTGGGTACTTGCATAGGCCCAGGACACACAGCAGTTAACAGCGGCTACCCCAGCAGTTTCTGCTCGCTCCAGAAACCTTTGCTAAGAACACATGTAAATTTTTTTAAGTAATACAATGTACTCTGTGTGCTGAGGCTTACAGAAGCAGACCAGAGGGGTGCCCAGGGGCTCAGTCGGTTAAGCATCGGACTCATGGTCATGATCTTGGGGTTATGAGATTGAGCCCCCGGTGGGGCTCCATGTTCAGCGGGGAGTCTGCTTCCCCTCTCCATCTGCCCCTCCCGCGCTCATACACACTCCCACAAGTGTGCACGCTCTCTCTCTCTCAAATAAATAAATGTTAAAAAAAAAAAGAAAAAGAAAAAGAAAGAAAGAAAGAAAAGCATACCAGGAAGTCCTTGGGAAAAACTCTCCCTAGCTGTTTGTTCTGAAGAATCTAACTGCAGAGGCATATCTGCCTCTGGGGTTCATGGTGAGTGAGGCTAAGGCCCTGGGGCAGCCCCACGATCCTACTCTGCTGAGAAACGTGGGCTTGATAGATGATGGGGTTATTTTGTTTCTTCTTGGTTACTTTACTTACCTCCTATTAGAGCAAAAACAAATTAATACTCACAGGTTCAGTTAGTTGTGGTAAATAACTGTTTTTGTGGGGACAGAAGGGAAGCTTAGGCATCTTATTGTCTGTTCATTCGTGGGCTCCAGTGTGATCTACTAAAGGGTGAAAACAGAATGACCACGTGATCCTTTCTTCCACCCCAATTCACTGCTCAGGGCTACGGTCCACTACGTGAAGGCCCGTTTACCCAGCCCAGTTCACACAAAATGCCCAGAGCCTGTGGTCATTCAGCTCTGGTTTTAAAAGAAAATACATAAGTAAATAGAGGCTTCTTTTCAAATATGGGGCCTTTTCAAGGACTTCTGTGTGACACAAAGTTCGGAAGCCTTCGGGCTGCCTTATCAGCTCACCGTCAAGAACTCGGGGAGAGGATGTCGCACGAATCTTCCCCTACCTTGGAGCTTATTCTCACTGGACAAGCTGTAATTTTCTAATCTTGAGTGTTTAAGTACCGCGAATGAATCTGAAGTTTTTCGAATCATAGATTTAGGGTAATTGCTCAATTGTACACACTTTTATTTTTCTTTCAAGGTGAAAGAAAGCAAAGCGACACCCAGTGGGGGGTCTTGGTCAGCATACATTTAACCCAGACTCTTTCATCGCTCCATTTTGACCATTCTCATCAACATTAACAATCCTGCCCTGGGGTGGTCTCAGTTAACACTATTCTGATCTGCCTAGGGGAAAAAGTTTGACCTGCCCCCCCTTTTTTTTTAAATTTTCACTTTTTTTTTTAATTTTTTAAATTTATTTTCAGCATAACAGTATTCATTGTTTTTGCACCACACCCAGTGCTCCATGCAATCCGTGCCCTCTCCAATACCCACCACCTGGTTCCCCCAACTTCCCACACACACCCCCCCCCCCCCCCTCAAAACCCCCAGATTGTTTGACCCTTTTCTGCCCTTGTTTCTGGCTCAGCAACCCCCTTAGGGCAGGAAAGCTCTGGGGAGGCAGTGTCCACCCTCCCCTACCGCCCACCACACCACCCTCCCCCAGGCGACCAGGTGACCAGCTGACCTGACTGGTCCAGGCCTGGGGCTGATGCCTGCGAGGGGCTGGGAAGGCAGTGCTCCTACATGAGAGCCACTGAAAGGAGCCCTTTCTCTCTGCGTGTCTAAGTCTGACTCCAGACCTTGTTATCTCTTATCATTGTCATATTTATTAGACAGACTGACCTGCTTTCTCGCCGAATTTTCACCCTAATATTAACAAACAGCATTTTATTCATTCATTGCCTTTTTCAGAATTTGCTTCCCAGCAACTCGTACTTACCAGAGAAGGTAGCAGAGGGTGTGCCCTCCCCCAGCTCCTCTGGGCGTTCCTCCAATCTGAACTTGCCAGCTTTCAAGCCACATTTTCAGGGACAACATTCTCCTTGCCTCCTCCTGGAGCCCATGGTGGCCCCTGCCTTGCCCGGAAGGACTCGCCTAACTGCGAGCCAGACCCTGGCCCCAGGGTGGGGACAAACACCCCCTGTCACTGTGTAACGTGGCATCTAAGACGCTTCCCCAGGGTCCCTGCACCTGTGTCTTCACTGCTCAGCACAACCAGCTCCCGTGTCCAACTTGGCCAGTGATCCCTGGTTGTTTCACTGGCTGGAACCCCCAGAGACAGGACAGATGGGGTTGAGATTCAGCCCCACTGCCGCACCCCCCCCTTTTTTTTTTTTTAAGATTTTACTTATTTCACAGACAGAGATCACAAGTAGGCAGAGAGGCAGGCAGAGAGAGGAGGAAGCAGGCTCCCCACTGAGCAGAGAGCCCCATGCAGGGCTCGATCCCAGGACCCTGGGATCATGACCTAAGCCGAAGGCAGAGGCTTTAACCTACTGAGCCACCCAGGCGCCCCTGCCCCACCCTTAACAGGCATTTCAGAAACCCTTTCAACCACGGTGAAACAGCGGGGTTTACAGCTGTCCGAGAGGGTAAGCACCAGAACACCCCATTCCCTGAGGAAAGCAGGAGACACAAATGAGCTGCTGTGCGTCCCCGTCCGCTGTGCAGAAATCCAGCAGAAAGTTCCATCAGAAATCTAACTTTGAAAAACAACACCTTTCTTTGCTATAGCCAAGTAGGTGGGAGATTTTTCTACAGGCAGCCCCGTGGGGGAGAGCTCTGACAAAATCCCAGCCTGGACAGAACCACTGCCTGACCCAGCCCGAGCCCACCCCTCCCACCCGCCACAGAAAACCCCATGAGTGGGATAGCTAGACTCTAACGGTGACCTAGTCTCCTAACACGGGATCCTTCAGACACAAATAAATGCACACTGATAACTGCGCTTGTGGCGAGCATGAAGGTACAGGGTATACAGGCCCCGGGTCTGGAGCCAGGCTACCTGGGTTCAAATCCCAGCTCTGCCGTGTCCTCCAAGTATGGCCTCTGCTTCTTTGCTTGCAAAATGGATGCTACTTCCTAGGGTGCTTGGGAGGATGAAAAGGGTCACACACATAAAGTGTTGGCATTCTACACCATTATCTGCCCTGTGGCTCTCCCCTCCCCTGCCAAGCCTCTGGGAACTAACACCGAGGCAAACAGCAATAATAATAATACAGCAGCTAGCTTGCATAATCACCAGTGCCAACCATGAAGTGCTTTTCGTATATGTTCTCTCCTCACAGCAACCCAGTTGGCAGGGTACTGTTATTACTCCTGGAGGAACTGGCTGCACAGAGAGGTTAAGTGACTTGCCCAAGGTCACACAGCCAGTGAGCACTACAATCCCCCAGGCAACTGTTAAATCCTAGGTGTCACAAGATTTTCACAAAATATCTGAGGCTAGCTGTTCAAAGATCATGCGGGGCATGGGGGGCAAGCCTTGCTCTTCCTGAATGTGTTTCAACACCCTTTTCTCACTTGGTTAATGGGAAGCCAAGCTTACAGGGCACCTGCAGACTAGGTGAAAAACCAGAATGGTGTTTTTTTCCAAGCCAGTATGTTTGCTGCCACGGCGGCCAGCTTCGGGCAGGCCTAGCAGGGCAAGAAAAAAAGCCGGGGAGGCCTGGCCTTTCAAAGTCCTTTTCCAAAGCTTCGCCGGTTGTTTGAGATACAAGCCTGCCACTTCATCTGCAGAGAGCGTCTGGGTTAATGGTGAACCACTAACGCTATGGAGATCAAACAAAACACCACCCCCAAAAAGAAAGGGCAGGAAAAACTGATCTGAGTGCACAGAAGGTTAACAGAGAGAGAGAGGCGGGCTGGGCAGAGAAGCCAGATAGGATGTCTGAACTACGAGGTCACTGGTTCATGAATACACTCTCTACCTTAAAAAGCTATCTGTCTCCGCTTTGATGGGAAACAGTGAGACCCCTTCCATCAGTCTCCTGCCCCCTGCCGCCCCCCAAACCCCCACCAGAGTTCACCTGAAGCATGGGGGCGTGTTGTACAAGGAGCCGTTTCCAGCCTGTACTTTGTATTCCAAGATCGAGGGGCACTCTCGGAGCGCGAACCCCAGCAGGTCTTCACGGATGATCACTACAGTGACCCCAGCAGAGCCCACGTTCTTCTGCGCACCGGCAAAAATCACGCCGAACTGAGCAAGAGAAGACACGCTATTGTAGATACACACGGCCATTATTCACACATGTAGCCCCATTTCCTAGTCTCTTTCCAAAGCACGAGGAGCCAATTTTATTCCAGTTCTGCTCAAAGTGCATTCCGTTCTCTACTGGCATCTCCACCTGGGACAGCACATCCGTCCTCCCCAGGTCTGGGGCCTGCAGGTTAAGTATGTGCCTGGTCCTTTTCACCAGCAAGGGGCTAGTCTGAGCATTTCTATAAAGATCTTATACATATTCATCTTCGCTCTGTATACCTCCTTTCTACACCCAAGCCAGTATTTAAAATGAGGCTGCTGGGGCACCTGGGTGGCTCCATCAGTGAAGCATCTGCCTTCGACTCAGGTCATGATCCTTGCGTCCTGGGATCGAGTCCACATGGGACTCCCTGCGCATCGGGGAGCCTGCTTCTCCCTCTGCCTCTGGCCCTCCCCCTGCTAGTGTGTGCATACTTGCTTGCTCTCTCTCACTCAAATAAACAAATAAAATCTTTTTAAAAATTTAAAATAAAATAAAATGAGGCTGCTAACTGTTCCTGGTAACCAAAAGAAACCATTCTTAACGTATTCATGTTTGCGTAAAAGGACAGTCAGAAGATGCTGAGAAATAATAGACAAACTACCTGAGAAGAAATTTTAGCAAACAGAAATTAAGCTAAATGAACCTTTAGCTTAAAGGAACTTCAGAAAACATTGTCCTATAAGACACACAGCCCTCTCCCACCTCCCCCCACGAAACCCTTCTAAACAGCAAATGGCATCCCAAGTCCGAGGGAAGAGGGTCTGGCCCGGAAGGGAGTATGTCACAGTTAGCATTGTTGAGAATCGCCAGTGCACAGATCTGGTAATAAAAAGCAAGCTACAAAGAGAACGTGGGAGAACCACCCCATGGAATATTATTCAGCCTTAAAAAGGAATGACGTTCTGACACCAGCCACTGCATGGCTGATCCCTGAGCCATTACTCTAAGTGAAATGAACTTGACACGGAAGGACAAATATTGCATGAGTCCCGTTTTATGAGGGAGCTGGAGAAGTCCAGTGTGGAGAGTGGAGGCTCCCGGGACCTGGGGCAGGCCTGAGGACTTACTGTTTCAGGGGCAAGAGTCCCAGTTTGGGAAGATAAACAGTTCGGGAGACTGATGGAGGTGATGTTTGCACGACAGTGTTCATGTACCTAATTCCCCTCAACTGTACATGCAAAAATGGTTAAAACGGTAAATTTTATGTTATATGTACTGTACTACAATATTTTTTTTTAAAAGGCAGGCTACAATTTAGTGTGTTCGTTTCTTTTTTTTTTTTTTTAAGATTTTATTTATTTGACAGAGAGAGAGAGAGATCACAAGTAGGTGGAGAGGCAGGCAGAGAGAGAGAGAGAGAGGAGGAAGCAGGCTCCCCACTGAGCAGAGAGCCCGATACGGGGCTCGATCCCAGGACCCTGGGATCACGACCTGAGCTGAAGGCAGAGGCTTTAACCCACTGAGCCACCCAGGTGCCCCAGTGTGTTTGTTTCTAAATGCTTTACAGTTATTACACGCCCTCACGGCACACACCTGAGCTCACTGCTCCCCTGCCGCCTTGACGTGCCTCCTGGAAAGTCCACGTGTCCTGTGGATGCTCTTGGAGTTGAGGTGGGCTCAAGGTAAGGTGGAGCACATTCCCAGATCCCCCAAGCTTGGATCATCTGCAGCTTCCCCAGAAGTCAGCGAGCTACTCCCAATGTATTGACCAAAACATTTCCCAAGAGGCACCCTCAAAGGCAGATGAAATTCCTAAGGACTCCGTGTGACTCTGTGAGGCTATCATTAATACAAGGTGGAACCCATCAAGACTCACACGTCCCGACAAACCACTATAAACAAGCAACTTTCAGCCAGGGTATCGTAAGTTGTCTTGGCTTCAGGGTCTCTGTTGGCCCAAGACATTCTGGGCCTTTCCTTGTTCTCATATTTCTTAAAATGCTCTCGTGAAATCCAAGACACAGGGGTTCCCCAAACAGGCCCCTTTACACTCTACCTTGGAAACATCCACCAGCTTGGAGAGGAAGTTTGAGGACATGTCGCAAACCAGCACTGCCCCCTTGACATCAGGGATGAAGTCAAACTCCACTCCATGCACGGTCTCGTTGGCGCAGTAATACACATAGGAGGCGTCTGGGCTGAGGTTCCAGGTGCTTGGATCTGGGATTTCTATCACAGAAGAAGAGGTGGAGAGTCTGTGCTTTCATTCCTCTTTGCTCATGTAGATGGGAATGGCCAGGAAGGACAGCCCTCCCCTAGCTGTGAAAGGCTGATTCCAAAGTCCTCCCAACAGAAACCACCCTATCCATCTTATATTATAATTCCCATCAACAACCTAAAAGGATGATCCATCCCATGCTCTTGATGGTTGTTGGGAGCAACTAATCTTCAAGAATGGTATGGTGGAAATTTTTCCTATTACCCAGTATCCATCCACCCTATGTCCACTGATTTCCTTCTTGGGGCTCCAGCCGCCCCAACTCAGTCCATGTAGTTCCGGTGCAGTCAGTTTCACCCGCAGCCACATGACCGAATGGGAATGGGACACAGGACATGTGAGGCTGTGATTGGGAATGCTTGAGCAAACGCATTGAAACTTGGGAGAATATGAGGTCAGGAGCATCCTCTAAAAGGGAAGGGACTGTGGAGCCATCACAGAGGAGACCAGGAGAGACATCAGGACCTGCAGACATTACTGGGGCCCTTGATCAAGCCATACCTAAAGCCAATCAGCCATAGGCTCTTCAGCTGAGTAAATCAAAGAATACTCATTCTGTAGCAGCCAGTTAGTAATCTTAACAAGGGAGACTATCCACTCTAAATGGTATCAAATCAGCTACCAACCAGAAGGAATTAAAAACTGCAGGTTGCCCTGGGCAGGGATAACCAGGTATCTGAAAAGGGACCACCCACCCAGCAGCATTTGTCTACATTCTATTATCACCGTAGAGCTCAGATCCCGGCACTTACTCGTGTAACTCCCAAGTTTGGGGTGGACGATATTCACAGTCCCAAACTTCTTGGCTTCTTCTGCGGCCTTAGCTGACCAAGAGCCTGTTACCACATAGTCAGCACACCTTCCTGCTTTCCGGCCAATCAGGTTTAAGGGGACAGCACTGAACTGGCCAGACCCACCTCCTTGCACAAAAATCACCTTGTAGTTATCTGGAATGGCTCTGGGCAGAAGTGTAGGAGACAGTAAACAGAGACACACAAGGTCAAAGAAAGAATGAGCGAGGCTCTACCAGCACTTTACTTTGGGTGGATATACTACAAGAAATGTGGTAAAGTCCCAGCCCTGCTTTGCCTTCCCCAAAGCCCTTCCTTGGGCTCCCTGTGGAAGCCTATGGGTACTTTTTGGCGGGAAGCTAGTCACACCCTGCTGTTCCTTTAGGGAATCACCTTGCTATCACTCTCAGTCCACACAGTTCTAGGGTGGCCAACCTGACTCCAGAGGATGAGCCCACAAGCCAAGATGGCCAGCGGAGTTCAGTTCTGAGACCTTTGCTCAAACTTCTGGAAAAGATAAATGGTCTCTATTGAGGGAACAAATAAACTAGCTAATCCTGCAACCACTGGTGGCCATCTGGTGAGGCCAACACATCGAAAAGCAATGCCAGGAGATGGAAGAAAAGACCTTCCTGGACATCACCTGAGCTCCTCCTTCATCGCTCCTGCACTGTCTAGTTACACGAGGTAATACATTTCCTCTTCTGCTGAGAGTTGGGCTTCTGCAACCAGAAGTCCTAAAAACAGACATGTGCTGGTCCATTACAGGAACCGAGTGGACCCTAGCAAAGGATCTGAGATAATGTATTAGGCTTAAGCACGTCATCACATATTGATAAACATCGAGATTACCAGTGAATATTTTTTTATTCCAGCGTACAAAATTAAGATGTTTTCTGGAATAGCTGCAGGCAGTAGAAGGCCAGCCCCAGAGGGACTAGGCCATGGAAACTGGACCCCAGCCTTTGAGGAAGCTCAGAGCTTAGGAACAAAGGCAGATGGCTGGGGACAGAGATCCAGCACAGAGGTCTGAGTACCAAAGGGCAGGGCAATGTGAGAGGGTTTGAATGGGTGGTGTGCAAGTAAGTATCTGGTCCTGAACCCCATCTGCCCGCTATCATGCAAGCTAGCAGGCAGCTCGCACTGGGAGGCTCTAAACACGAGGTTCTCAGCAGCTGGGAGGACTGGCAGCCCAAGGCACCGTTCCAGGTTTATGTTATTCAGACACCAGATAGATAAGCAGGCCAACACCTGGATGGAAGGACACGAGACACAGGCCCAGGTACAGGGACACAAGGCAGGCACTTGGTTAGGAAAATAAAGGATCGGCCCAGAAACTGAACTGGGAGTCTGGTCCCAAGAGGTTTGCAGCCATACGGGTCAAATGCCACATCTTCTGGGCCGGGGCTCCAAATACCTGTTCCATGAAGGATAGCCTTGTGCTGTGAACATGACATGGAACCCAACAGGCACAACCCATGTGAGGCACCAAGCAAAGGATGACCGGTTCTGGCCACCCACAATGCAATGGGCTCTAGTGCTCCTCACAAAAAATGGCACCAGCAAGGGAGCCTGGGTGGCTCAGTGGGTTAAGCCTCTGCCTTCAGCTCAGGTCATGATCTCAGGGTCCTGGGATTGAGCCCCCCAATCAGGCTCTCTGCTCGGCGGGGAGCCTGCTTCCCTCTCTCCCTCTGCCTGCCTCTCTGCCTACTTGTGATCTCTCTGTCAAATAAATAAAATCTTAAAAAAAAAAAAAAAAAGGCACCAGCCAGCCCCACCTGAAGACTTTTATCAAGCCAGTTCAAAAGGAAAGTAATAGTCAATACAATTCCAATCGTGTTAATGAAATCATGCAAACTTGCACCCTTAAAATGTTAACAATAATTACTTCTGACGGATGCGGTTATGGAAAATTTCAGTTTAGTTTGTGATATTCAGTTTTTCCTAAACTTTCTACCATGAATATACACTAGTTTTATGAGCAGAAAACGTGTTGTTGTTGTTTTTTTAAGACTTTATTTATTTATTTGACAGACAGAGATCACAAGTAGGCAGAGAGGCAGGCAAAGAGAGAGGAGGAAGCAGGCTCCCCGCCAAGCAGAGAGCCCGATGCGGGGCTCGATCCCAGGACCCTGAGATCATGACCTGAGCTGAAGGCAGAGGCTTTAACCTACTGAGCCACCCAGGCACCCCTGTTTTGTTTTTTTTTTTAAAGATTACCGTATTTGTAACATTTATGTGACTATACTTAGACAGTATGTAAATCTATCCCTTAAACAGCAATCTATTTAAGAGTAAGGTTTCCTGGGACGCCTGGGTGGCTCAGTTGGTTGGACAACTGCCTTCGGCTCAGGTCATGATCCTGGGAGTCCCGGGATCGAGTCCCGCATCGGGCTCCCAGCTCCATGGGGAGTCTGCTTCTCTCTCTGACCTTCTCCTCGCTCATGCTCTCTCTCACTGTCTCTCTCTCAAAATAAATAAATAAAATCTTTAAAAAAAAAAAAAAAAAAGAGTAAGGTTTCCTCTGCGTAAGGAAGAGTAGTGCAGATAAGCTAAGAGGGATCATTTGAGAAGTTCCTGGAGTGAAGAGCTCTTAAAATTACCCAAAGAGTCTGTTAAAGTTGAAGTTTCTACAGAGATTCTGATTCAGCTGGGCATGGTCGGCCCTGTACTTGGATTTTTTAAAACCTGCCCACAGGCAGGTGACTGAACAGGTACTATGAGGCCCTTGCTTTAAGAACCAGTACATTGACCAAGATGACCATTTCTCTGTTATTTAAATCCCTTTTAAGCCTGAAAAATCTTTCTTAGATATAATGATTTCAAATCATTGGAAACACCATTTAAAATAAAAACACACAGGGGTGCCTGGGTGGCTCAGTCAGTTAAGCATCTGACTCTTGATTTCCACTCAGGTCATGATCTCAGGGTTGTGGGATCGAGCCCCACATCGGGCTCTCTGCTTGGCGAGGAGCCTGCACTGGGCATGGAGGCTGCTTAGGATTCTCCCTCCCCCTCTCTCCCTCTAAAAATAAATAAATAAATAAACAAATAAAAATAAAAACACAAACACAGGATGGCAAACAAGTAAAAAGCATTATATATTAATTTAGTGAATTGGGGAAAACTCTTCAAAAGATTATTTTTAACTATGAAATATTCTTAACACACAGCCAAGTAAAACTGTTAACAGATACTCACATACATAGATTATCAACCAAGAGTAACGATTCTGTTTAAAATTTTAAACTTACAACAATTCCCGCACAAGATTCTCTGCGTTGTTAATAATCTTGGCAAAATCCGACGACCTGTGGCTCATTTCTGTGGAAGGAAAGATAAATAACAAGAAAAAAAAGTTCCTGTTTAAAACCAATCACACAGAAGGAACGTTAGAAGTAGCTACACAGGGCGCCTCAGTGGCTCAGTGGGTTAAAGCCTCTGTCTTCGGCTTAGATCATGATCCCAGGGTCCTGGGATCGAGCCCCGCATCGGGCTCTTTGCTCAGCATGGAGCCTGCTTCCTCCTCTCTCTCTCTCTGCCTGACTCTCTGTCTACTTGTGATCTCTGTCTGTCAAATAAATAAATAAAATCTTAAAAAAAAAAAAAGAAGTAGCTACACACTTTGCAAATAAGATGATAAAGGGAAAACTCAGTTATTTTGCACTCAAATTGTGGGCCAAGGCTCACTTCGTTTAGGGGGAAAATCCAAACTAATTTTCAAATTGCAAACATTGGAGCCTTCTGGTCACAGAAGAATGATTTTCAAGCGGCATACTCATTGAATGAGCCATTTACTAATTCATCCTTCCGTCCCTGTGATTTCTCAACATCCTTCTCACAAATATGAATCCGTGTGCAAGGGCTGCCCTAAAGAAACAATCGCACACAATTCTGCTCTGTGGCTCTCACTGCGCAGAAACCCCAGCGTGGCTGGGACCAAACCCACAGGAACAAAATTTAATAGCAGTGATCCTACAGTTAACCCTATAATCTCTCCATATTGTGCAGCCTTGGGAGTTACAAAAAAAAAAAAAAAAAAGGAAATTAAAATTTAAAATGTTTAAAATTCAAAGGGCCCCTTCCTCAATGATAAAGGAGAAACTTAATGCAATTATTAAGGTGCAAGATCTGAGCAAAGGCTTATAGACTTTTAAACTTTTACTAAGTTCATTTTCAAGTTCAGTAAAAGAGGGCTGGAGCCCTGGGATGCATATGTTCGGCATCCCTCTGATCTCAGATGCTATAAATAGCGAAAGTAATCATGAAGTGGTAAACGGACATACAAGAACCTCTCACCAGCATGTATGCTGATTTCAAAATTGCTTCTAGGAGAACATGGGTGGCTCAGTCAGTTGAGCGTCTGCCTTCGGCTCAGGTTGTGATCCTGGGGTCCTGGGATCAAGCCCTGCGTCAGGCTCCCTGCTCAGCTTAGTGGGGAGCCTGCTTCTCTCTCTCCCTCTTCTGCTGCCCCCATCCTCATGCTCTCTCTCACTCAAATAAATAAATAAAACCTTTAGAAAAAAATTTTAAAAGGTTTCTGTCAAACATGCCACCAAAGTTACTAATATTTAAAAATATATTTACAAAGGCCTAAAGGAGACAGAGTTGAAAATTCAAGGCAGATGCATTTTCATCAGTTCTCTTTGGAACCTGGATATTTAGAGTCAAAAAGTGAATCTTACCAAGAACACTAATCCCAATTCCTTTGTAGTCTAACAGTTCTTTTTGGATCTCTAACAATACCTAGAAGAAATAAGAGAAAATAAAATGATTTGAATATTCGGCCCAGAGGTCTGCCTCTGGACATCAGACCAGGGAGGGAGTCTACCTATAGAGCCTGTGAGGTCTGGAAACTTCTGTACCACCCATGGCCAATCCCCTTCCTTCCAACCAGTCCACAGAACCCTGCTGATGCAACTTACACACAAGTTAAGTGTGAAATTATGTCATGTGATTGATATTAAAATACAATTTTCCCAAAATTTTCTGATGACAACCCTTAACTATCAAGAGAAGACCTTTGGGAAAAACCAGATTCCCCAGACAAGTCTGCTCCACAGTTACGCTTACCACTCTCTGAAAGCAAAAGTGCAACAAAATGCATTGAGTCCTGGGTTCAGGGAACAACAGATCAATTGGGCTGAAATTAAACAGATAAATCAATTTCCCATCTTGCCAGTCTAAGGTGCTCAATTGGGACAGGTTGGGTGTACAGAAATTAGGAAGCTTGGCCTTGAATAAGATCAATCCAGGAATAATGACATACTGATCCCTCTTGCCAACAGAGCCATGCGGGTGATACTCCTGTCCCCAATTTGCAGAAGAAAGAGATCAGCAGAGGCTCTGAAGGGTAGGCACCTAGCCAGTCTCTTGACCCCTCTACTAAGATGACTGCAGCCCCTTAATCACGTTCTACCTTACAGGGACACATGGGCAGGTGGGACCCAGTGTACTGGCAATTCCAAAGAGTCAGGAAACAGGGGCACGGCTCACCACCCCTTGCAAAACACAGCTGACCTGGGAGGAGCCCCATGGCTGTTTTCTCCCCCAAAGTGTGTAGAATGCAAGTAACTACACAATGAAAAAAAAAACAAAAAACGACCAATCCTTTATTTATTTATTTATTTTTAAAGAAGACAGATAGAAAGTCTTATCAGAGATGAATGCTAAAGTGTTTTTGTGAAATGACATGATATCTGGGATTGGTTTTAAAATAATCCAGGGGCGCCTGGGTGGCTCAGTCGACTAAGCATCTGCCCTAGGCTCAGGTCATGATCTCAGGGTCTGGCTCTCTGCTCAGCAGGGAATCTGCTTCTTCCTCTCCCTCAAATAATAATAATAATAATAATAATAATAAATAAATAAATAAATAAAATCCAGGGGCAGGTAGGGAGAAAGAGGGTGTAGATAGGTGCTGCAGGTTAAAATCCTCAGAGATGTGTGCATGGATTCCCCTGCCTACTTCTGTGTCTGTGAGAACTGCCATAACATGCAAAGAGAGGGGGGAAAGCTCTAAAAATGTACACGAAACAGGTGAGACAAGCTCTCTGTAGAAGCACCCTGCCATCAAATTTCCTTGAAAGACAGAGACTAAATCAGATGTCACACAACAATCTAAACTGGATGGCAACTTGTCTGAAATACAACATTTAACAATAAAGAATTAGGCAAAAGAATTCCTGGCAAGGGGGGGGTAGTTTAAGAATTTGTCATTGTTGGGGCACCTGGCTAGCTCAGTCTGTGGAGCATGTGACTCTTGATCTTGGGGTAGTGAGCTCAAGCCCCATGTTGGGTGTAGAAATTAATTAAAAATAATAATAGGGCACCTGGGTGGCTCAGTTATTTAAGCGACTGCCTTTGGTGCAGGTCATGATCCTGGCGTCCCAGGATGGAGTCCTGCATGGGTCTCCCTGCTCAGCAGGGGGAGTCTGCTTCTCCCTTTGACCCTCACCCCTCTAATGCTCTCGCTCTCTCTCAAATAAATACACAAAATCTTTAAAAACAATAATAATATTAAAAGCTAGCATTTAAAAAAAGTATTTGTCACTGGTTTTGCAAACTATGGGATGATTATTATTATTGATGATTATTATTATTAGCACTGGCCGATTAAACACACTTAATGAATCCTTTCTTTGGTGAACACAAACAGATAGTAAAGGCATCTTTGAACACATTTAAGACGGGATTTCTCTTACAGGCAGTATCCCTTGAAATGAGTTTATGATCCAAATCATTACAAAGAGTTTTAAAGACTTCTACCCAAAAAGCATGCCCCTCTACTCCAGTGGAGTTTATTTTTTCAAACTGAAGAATGCAATCACTCTTATGGGTCACAACACATTTTTTAAAATAGAACAGACTAGCATGGAACACAGTACAAAAGTATGTATGTCATAGTTATTTAGGCTAAATATTTCATAGGGCTTTAATTATCATTATATACATACACTTCGTCATTTTGTAAAATATATTTCTCATTGTGGTCACGATGAGCAATAAAGTTTGAAAAGCTTCTCTAATCCTTACAATCAAATCAAATCAAAACTCATAAAAAGTAACATCTGCCACTTCCTCCCACCCCCTCACCCCTCAGAGAAGGCATCTGAGGAGAAAAATCCTCCCAAGAAATTAAGAAATAACTGTATTATTGATGACAACTTCCATTATAACAAAGGCATAAGAAATTGCACAGGGAGGGACACCTGGCTGGCTAAGTTGAGATTCTTGATCCCCGGGTCCTGAGTTCGAGCCCCACGGGGGAGAGAGTACTTTTAAAGAAAAAAAAGAAAAGAAATAAAAAGAAATTGCACAGGGGAACAAATACTCAGAAGACTCCAAACCACGGAGACAAGACAAAGGTGAGGAGGTACAAGAAACACTTGCACAGCTCTAAGCAGGGAAGGAATTTCGCCTAAAACAGGCTGCAGGAAGTGGGAAAAACCAAGCCTTGCTCTTTCCACTACTATGAGCTCTGCCCCTAGGAAAGCACGAAGTCCTTTCCCTTCTAAAATTGTTAAGATTCTCTGTTCTTACAACACAGAAGAGGCTCTATCCCACGGAGATTTCTACTCTGTTCAACAATAGATAATTGTGAAGCACTTGGCTAAGCCCCATGTTGCTACAACATAGTATCAGAGTCAATGTGGTTAGAAAAATAAAAATATAACAGCAGAGATAGCAGCTTGTCAATCAAGGCACACCACGAACTGTCTTCTTCACAGTTGGTGGAGGGGGGGGCGAGGGTGGACTGAAGATGATGTGGGAAGGAGAATGGGCGTTTGCGGGGAGGAGCTGAAACCTGGCTAAGGGCCTAGGAAGGCAGGGAGTGAGTTCCACTTGCACTTGAAAAGTCTGGTCGTGGCCCCGGGGAAAATTCAATCATTCCATTTCCTCCGAAACAAAGTGAAGCAAACTGGGCTGGCAGCCCACTGCCTACCAGAATTTGAATACTCGAATGCCTTTAGGAGTCAAGCCAATTAAAATTAAAAAAAAAAAAAAAAAAAAAAAAAGACTGAAACCAACTGAAAAAGGCGGGGGAAGGGAAGGTTCTCTTGGGAAACAAGGAAGGAAAGCCAGGACTGAAGGCTTTCAAATTTACATTTCTGAAAAGCAATGCTCCCAAGTGCTGGCTAAACCAAACACTCCTTACAAGGGGTCAGGCGCGGGCCTCCAGTCTGCAATCCCCTCCAGTTTAACGCGCGATCCCCATTCACCATTCACTCAGTGTCCATGCACGGATCCACTCAATACTGCCTGGCTCGCAGCAGTGCCCTGCAAGGCGAACCCAGCGATGAGAGCGTTTTGCGCCGCGCCGCGCCAGGGCCCAGGACTGGAGAAGGCACAGCCCGGGAGTCTGCAGGTGCGCTGCGCCGGCGAGCCACGTCGTGCAAGTCGCTCACCGGCAGTCGGCGCCAGGGGCAGCTGCACAATCATGTCGCCCAGTTTCCTTCTCCCAAGTGCATTCTTGCAGAAGCCCACTTCCGAGGGGTCCCGAACTGGACGTGCACGCTGGCGCAGAGGGTTCGGAGGGCTCCGGGCGGGGAGAGGGGATCCTAAGACCTCGCGCAGAGATGCACAGCCACCCGAGCACCGGCTCCCGCTCGGACCACACTCCCGGCGCGCGCCCGTGGGGACTTACCGAGCGCGGTAGCTTGGCAGGCCCGGGCCCGAAGTTGACCACCTGCGTTGGGGCGCTCATGGTGCGGCAGCGTAGGCGACGAGGACAACGGAGAGAAGCGTGCGCGGCGCGAGTCTGCTGCGGGCGCAGACCATCTGTCTTCTTCCAGCGCCCAGCCGGCGCCACCATTGGCCCGCGCAGTAGCAGGCCCTGCGCTAATTGGTTCGCGCTACGGGGCTCGCATCCCCATTGGTCGTGCTCAACAGCCAAGGCCCAGGAGCAGTTGCTCCTCCTCTCGTGTACTGTTTCAACTCTTTTCTGATGAATGCAAGGCGCGCGGGAGATTGCAACAGCCATCGGACTCCGCAGAGTGGGCGGCGGGAAAAGGCTGCCCCTGCCAACGTGAGTTAGTGCTTCTGCATCCTGGATCAAGTCCGTTTCCGCCCTCCAACCGTCTCTCTCGGTCGCACCGGAAGATGTGGAGGAAATCGCTCCCCAATCCAACCACCTCTCCTTCACCAACCCTTGGGTTCTGATGCATATTTCAGAGCCAGCAGTTATTAATTCACCAAGCTTTTCTGAGCTCCCCCGCGGACCCCAGATACTCCAGTGGAGAGGCAGGGCTCCCAAGAAAGAAACTGGCGTGTGAAGGATGGGCCGGGAGTGGGTGGGTGGGGAATGAGGTTCTCCGCACGTGCCCGGCGGCCAGGAGTTCCAGCAGCATGAAAGGATGGAGGCAGCCAAGGACTCTGGGAGGGGCACTAGCCTGGGACACCTGGATTGCACGCCCCCCCCCCCCCGGGAGACCTTGTAGGTTGCTGATTCTCCGTTTACTCCTGTGAAAAGAGCGAGCTAGAACTGACTTCAGCTCTCAGTTTGCGCCACCGCCGACAAGCTGTGAGTTTAGAAACGTGAGGAGGTATTAACTGCAATACGATATCCCTAGGGACACAGCGCAAGCCTGGGGGAGAGGCCCTGAGCCAGGCCGGGCGCAGAGCCAGAGCTGCTCAAACTTTTACACAGATGCATCCCTCTCAAAAGAACCCCCATGGGGTTCTGAAACAAGGAGGCCCCCTTCCCTATAGGAAAGACATTTCTTTGAAGTCTGGAATTTCATCATTTTTTAAACTACAAAGTTTGCCTTCTACTCCATCATGTAACCTAGTTTCTTTGAACATAAAAATATTGTACCAAATCTTTGAGCAAAATTGATGCTCCAGGAATATAAGCAGTGCCCATCCTGGAACTTAATCTTAACACCCTCCACAGTGTCAATTACCCCAGTGTGAAAAGGCTTGTAAGCTAGCAGGGTTTGGGGCTTTTGCTTGTTTTTTTGTGGTATGTGGCACATAGGGCAGGGGGCAGAGGTCCTGCTTTGGATTTGTGAGTTGGAGGGCAAAGTTTCTAGAAAAAGCTGAAGTGAACAAGGTCACTGCTTTCCATAGCACCTTCTGTTAAAAAACTGCAAAATTGAGCAAAGGATATGAATCTCAGTCCATAAACTAAGATGTGCAAGAATCGTCACTTATCCATTATTTTATATCATGACTTACCTGTAGAGCCTTAGCAGTTAGTCCCCTGGGGAAGTGGGGGAGCTGGCCTTCCTCCTTCCTGGAGTCCCTAACCACGGGGATTTACATGGTCCTAAGGTTTAGGATGGAGGGGAAAGCAGACATCCATTTAGTAGTCCTCCATGCCCAGAAAATATGGCTGAGTTGTGTCCGCCCTCCAGGTTTATATGGCGGGTTCAGCCAATTAGCTCTCTACCACTTCCATGTCTCACTAGGTGATGAAATGTGGATGTTTTTGGGTTTGTGAATGAAGAATGAATTCTTGAGAGCTTTTTGGGTCCAAAAAGGTGATTGTATTATAGCACAGAGACAGAACCCATGGGTAGAAAGAGTTATACCAGGATTGTGAGGAGATTATATATACATATATATATAATCTATATATATGTATATATATAGATTATATATAATACACACACACACACACACACACACACACACACACACACGTTTTAATGAGCGGGGTTTAGGGATAGTGTATGTCTCCAAGGAATGTGGAAACAAGGCTTTCTGGTCCTTGAGGGGCTCAGTGCCATTAAGATAAGGTTATTTTTAGTCTTTCATAAAACATAAACGTTAAGGCACCAAGGCAGCTGTGAGTTCCTTGAGGAAGGTCAGGCTCTGCACGTCTCAGGTATCCATCAGTGGGCTGTCCCCTCAGTGGACTGTCAGCGATTAGGAGATTTAGTTCAGGCTGGATTTCTCTTGCCTTTGTTTCCCTCATCAAAGGGACACAGGAAATTTGGGTGGGGGGTTGGGGAGGCTATCATCTCACCTGCCAACACCTGTCACATTCAGTCATTCCACCTAGGGCCTTACAGTTTCTGAGATGATTACAGGGAAGTGAGGCACATAGACCCTCAACTCAGGGACATCGTTGTGAGTGTGCTTGCTATAAAGGCGCACCCACAACTTGTGTCTTCCCACAATGTCAGATTTATTCAACCATAAAGCAAAGTTAAATCACAATTAGAAAGTGGGGGTTCAGGATTCCAAACTCAGTGACAGTTCACCATATGATTCAACTTGGCTTCTTACACAGTGCACAGAGCAGGACAGAAGACAAACCACACAACATACAGGATAACAGAAGGGAGCAGGAAGTTAATGAACCAAATGTGAAGTCAGTCTGTGGGTATGAGGCTGAGATAAGGCCACAGCCTGGTCCCGGTCAATTCTTGGCACTTACTGCTCCTGATGTTCAAGCAGGGAAGGCTTCCAGTTCTGTTCGGAGATCAATCAGGCAGAGCCTTTGGCATCAATTGCCTTTTTTAAGTGGTCAGACATAGAGGTGTCAAGTCTGAAGATTCTTCCAGTTTACTCCCAAATCCTCCCCTTTTCAAAGGGATTTAGTCAGTTTTGGGTCTCTGCAGACCTCCTCTGGTCCTGCTGCTTCTCAGTTCTGGGGTGTCAGCTGACATTGGTCCCGGTGATACCTCCTAGCTGCAGTACCTTAACTGTTTGCATCTTTGCTGAACACGGGTCCTTGCTTGACACAGGCTCCTGCTTGATGTGACGGACTCCATTTTGCCCTCTACAGACTTGTAGACCTCTGCCTCAATCTCTCTCTTCCTCCCAGCCCAAGGGAGCCTCTTTTTCATCCTAGAGAGAATCCACTTCTTTCTGTTTCTTCCTCACACTCTGTGCACAAATACCTTTGGTAACTGGTTCTAAGTCTCCCCTGCTGATTTTGCAATACAGATGTACAAGGACAGCCCGGAGAATTCCTGCATTTCAGGAAGGTCCCTATCCCCTTCTAGTGGGCTGTGTTGAGTAGGTAAAAAGAAGCTTCTTTATGAAAGACATGTGTTGTAAATGTTAATTTCCAGAAGTGTTATTTATTGGGCCCTTATTCTACACAGGTGAAAATGCTGCCGTTTCCAGTCAGATTGGCCGTCCCATTTCCTGAGGCATGAGGAGAGAAGGCAACTGAAGAGAGAAGAACCCCATCTGGAATGAGGTGAGATTATTTCTGTTGCCCTTTTTGTAGCTGGAGCTGAAGATCCTTTTTCTGTATCATTCATTATTCCCAGAGGAAATGAGAGATGGACAAGGCAGTCATTGTAGTTTAAGTAGCAAAAAAGAAACAAAAAGTCAAAATCCTAGAACATTCTTCGTTCTGACCCCAAAAGACAGAAAAAGTTACTCATCCTACTCATTTTGCTTACCTCAGTTTATTTCTGTCCCCTACTTTGCTTCATTTTTAAAAATTGTGATAAAATATACATAACATGAAATTTACCATTTTAACCATTTTTAAGGGTAGTTCAGTGGCATGAGTACATTCAGTGTTGGGCAACCATCCCCACCCTCCACCTCCAGACTTTTTCATCTTCCCCATTGAAACTCTGACTGTACCTATTGAACAGTAAGTCCCCACTCCCCTTCCCCCAACCCCTATAAACCACCATTCTGCTTTCTGTCCCTATGCACTCGATGGCTCCGAGTATGGAGTGGAACATACAGAATTTGTCTTCTGTGACTGGCTTATGTCACTTAGCACAATGTCCTCAAGGCGCATCCATTTTGTTCTATTTTTTTAAACTTCTTTTAGGAGACTCTATTTTTAGAGCAGTTTTAGGTTCAGAGGAAAATTGAGAGGAAATTACAGAGATTTCTCATCTACCCCTTGCCCCTACACACGCATAGATAGCTTCCCTGATTATCAATATCCCTCACCTGAGTGGTACATTTGTTACAAATCAGTGAACCTATATTGACACGTCATTATTACCCAAAGACCAGAATTTACATTAGGGATCGATGTTGTTGTCACACATACTGTGGGTTTGGACAAATATATAATGATGTGTATCCACCATCATTGTATCATATAGAGTAGTGCAGTGCTCTGCCCATTCATCCCTCTGTCTCCCCCTCTTTTTTTTTTTTTTTTTAATCAGTTTATGTATTTGAGAAAGAGAGAGTGAGCATGAGCGGGACAGGCAGAGGGAGAGGGAGAGAGACTCCCAAGCAGACAGTGCACTGAGTGCAGAACCTGACACTGGGTTCGATCTCACCACCCTGAGATCCTGACCTGAGCTGAAACCAAGGGTTGGATGTTCAACCAACTGTGCCACACAGACACCCCTCCCTTTTTAAAAAAAAATTTTTAAAGTAATCTTTACACCCAGTGTGGGGCTCAGACTCACATCCCCAAGGTCAGGAGTCACATGCTTTACCAACTGAGCCAATGAGGTGCCCTCCCCTTTTTTAAAAGATTTTATTTATTTATTTGTCAGAAAGCATGCTCACATAAGCAGGGGGAGCGGCAGGCAGAGGAGAAAGCAGGCTCCTTGCTGAGCAGGGAGCCCAATGTGGGGCTCTATCCCAAGATCCTAGGATAATGACCTGAGCCAAAGGCAGATGCTTAACCGACTGAGCCACCCAGGTGTCCTCTGTCTCCCTTTTTAAATGATCAGTATAGAGAGCATTCTACTGCAAGCTTTGCACAAGTAAAAGCTCTAAGGGAATCATTTTAAGAGAAATGCTCTCTGTGGACCAGTGGGCAAAATTACACAGGGGACTACACACCACTTGTATCTTCAACAGCCTGAAAAGATTCTGGTATGGTAAAGGCATTAGGATTTTTTTTTTAACCCGAGAA